TTTTCTAACATGCAAATAGCTAGAAACAGATTGGTGGTTCTAAAATTTAACTATTTTTTAAAAATTGTATTAAAGACTCTATTTTATCAAGTTTAACTCACACGTGATTCTTTATCATCTGTCAAGATGCCAAATACTTCTTAAGCTAAGAACACATAGAACTGTTCCAAAAGCAAGGAAGTATTAATTAATCTCATCAGTTCACCCAACATCAACTTCACTTTTGGGCATAAGAAATGTCAAGAAAGGAGAGGAGTTTTCATTTATTGTAGCCCATAGTTCCTTCCAGAAAACAACCCCACCCACACAACCAATAAATATATGAAAGTGACAAGGAAAACTTCATGGCTAGTCAATCAAACCTGAACAGGATTCAAAAGAAGGTTCAAGCGCTGCTTGAGGGAATCTCCACGCTGAGCTCCACTCTTCTTGTTGATGAAAACTAGTAAAGGTCTTGCATCTGATGGCAGATCAATCAGCTCATATCTCTGTTTCATCCTTAATGCTTGAGATTCATCCTTCTGATTAATTGATCCACTTCTTTTGAAACTGGGCTTTGACTCCATTTTCTTATCTATGCCACCATCTTGGCGTGGTGTTCCCACATTCATGCTACCATTGCAGTTTTCTTCTATTGCATGAGAACCATTTGCATTTTGAGGGGAATCAACAGTGCTCTCTGTGCATATGTCACAGACGCTACCAGTACTACCTGTATCAACCGAAGTTTCATTATTATGCTTGTGCTTCTTGCTCTGACTCCTTATGGTTGCCCGTACTGAAGAAGCAAACTCATTTGCGCCATGAGTGATAGAGCTCAGAAATCCAGAATTCTGGTTCAACTCCTTAACATAAAGAGGTGATAGAATCAACCTTCGGAATTGTCCTAAATCACAAATATCACCTGTTTCATTAGACATACTACTGTGACAGTCCACATGTAGGAGTCGTTGGCACCACAAGCAACACCATATAGGAGATCCACCAAGAAAAGACCCACTACATGGCTCTTCACAGTAGCTACAAAAGGAAGCTTCATCAGGTTGATCAGTAAGCTCCGTCCATCGAACAGCCCACTGGTGCATCACATGCTCAAACCCAATCATAGATACACACTTGCAATCCTTGTGTGCACTTGAAGAGCAGCTCAAGTGAGCCGCTGCACCACAAATGCTACAACGGTGAATGAAACTGTCTGACGATATCATAGGCCCTAAGGTTTGGGAAGGTGACATTGGCTTTAAGCAAGCACAGCAATTCAAATTCTTTCCACGGGATACAGATTCCAGCTCCCAAGTATGAGGAGCAATAGGAACCTTATGCTTGGCCTTTGGGTTTTTCTTCGACCTAGCTACAGCTTTCATCCAACTTAAGTTAATGTTTCTTCTCCATTGGAAAGCCGTGTAAAAAATAGTCAAAATACCAACCAGGCCAGCAATAACACAGGAGAAAATGAAGAGACGTGACTCGGCCGCCATTTCAGATGGATTGTCAGTCCAACTGGGATGCAACATACGTTCTTCATCCATTCTTCAAAATTTTTATAGTAGCATTCTACAGTCGCTAACAAACACCACACCACCTACTCACCGCATGCCAATGTAAATAGCTCTTTATGAAAAAAGGCTTGCTACCCATTTTCTATTTAAATCCAGATTCTTATGCCTATTCATATTATTGCACCACTTCATTAGGTACACTTCTTGTCTCACACAAATCCTAAAAGAGCACTTTTTCTTCCTCTAAGAAGAAAATGCCTATATTTTGAGAAAAACTGCGAATCCAAAATTACAAATTTTTACAGCCTACAAAACCAGTAACATCAAAACTCCATTGCCTTTATCAGAGCCAAGAACGTAAGACAAAAAAAGAACCTGCAAAAAATTCATAAATCCATGGAAAAATTGTTCTTACAATACATAGAATCAAAAGAAAATTTCAAATTGAATACGACAACATATACCTGAGCAAATATAACAGAGAAAGGAAAAGAAATTTAAAATAAATTAATTAGATTGATCGCTTAAATGTATCCAATGCACTATTTGGCTGTCGAGAAAACGTCGTAAAATGAAAACAACTAAAAGCTATCACTATGTTTTGGATCATGAAAATAAAGAAACCTTCGCAGTGAAGCAAGCTTTGAAAATTTTCCTCCTTGTTCTGAGCAACCAAACAGCGAATCAGAAAATGAATAGCTTTACCAATCTAACACTAGAGAATAAGAATGAGAAGATAGACTTACAGTAGGCAGCGGCCAAAGAGAAAGAGGGAAAGAAGATGGATGAAATCACAGAGAGAGAAAACCCTAGGCATTGGGCAAGGATTTGATCTAGAGAGACAGAGAAACTGTGTGGGAAATCGAGATCGGAAAAGCAAGAACCCAAATTTCAAGCTTTCAAATATTCGACATCATACACAAAGCATAATCAAAATATTAAATTAAGAAGATTAAGCTTCTTTACTTAGTATTTTTGGGTTTAAAGGGGAAAACAAAAAGATTGCAAATAAAAATTTTAAAAGGAAAAGAAAGATTCCGAATTTGGAGCGGAAGGAAGGAGGGAAGGGTGCGTTGGGAGCGAAGGTGCGTAGATTCTGAATCTTCGTGAAAGGATGCCACGTGGATTAAAAAGGCGTGTAGGTTGGTACACGCATCGGTCCCACATTTTGTGTAATGGGCCGTGGGTGGCTTGATTTGCTGTGGACAGGTAGCTCAGGTGGAGACACGTGAGAGCGAGCAAATAAATGGTGCATGGGACCCACTACGTGTCTGGTTCCCTCTGTTGGACCAAGGGAGTTCTAAAAACTTTTGCATACAGTGTCTTAATCTCTTAAATCTTATTCCTTAATAACCCCACCACATTTATCTTTTTCTTTGTCTTTTCTTTTCTTTTTTATTTTTAAGACGTGTCTGCCGACTACGGTTTATTATCTTTTTTATACCATTTTTTTTAATATCATCTAAACAAAATGTAACTAAAAAGAGATTCATTAGCAACTCTCCTGTTACGTACATATAAGTTGTAATAATATATTAAATTCATGCATTCTTATTTAGAAAATCATTTAAATTTAAAAATTATATTTAAATACATATATGCTATATAAATACTTAAGAAAACTTTCTCATGAGATTAATGTAATATAGATAAAGTTTTATTTTTGAACAATAAAAAGGTGAAACAGAAGAAGTCTTTTTATCACCGTACAATTGTGTTCTAAAAATTAATGCTCAAACTCTTATATTAAAAATAAAATTATTTCTTTCAATATACTAGTCGCATATTCCAGCTATATATTAGTTGTACTCCACGGATTGCCACTAACAAAAAGGAAGAAATTATTTGTTTGGATTTGGCAAAACGTACAAAAAATAAAAAATAAATATAATAGTAACACAAGATTTTTTAGAATTATTTGAAAAAAAAAGAATACAAAAATCTCCAAGATTTAATAAAAAAAATATACTTGGAGATTCTTTCCTTACTTTTATTTATCTATTTAATTTTGGTTTTTCTCTTTTTTTTTCAATCAAGATTGTTTTTTAACTATCTGATTTTAGGTAGTTATGAGATTTAATTAATTTTAAAATCATTTTGAATTACTATCATATTAAATTTTAGTTAAGTTATATTCTAATTCAATTACGTATTAAATATTTACATTTTTTTCAATTTATGATATGTTAATTTTTGAGATAAATGTGTTAAATTATCTTTAGTTAAAATATTAGTTACCATTAATGTGAAAGAACATAGTGATAAGGAAATTAATTAAAATAAAAAATGAAAAAAAAAAAGGGAAAAGGGGACAAATAAACAAAGCGTTGATATTGTCAGTATTTAAAGTACACCTAACACAAATATAATTTTGATTAATGGAATCTTAATATCAATCACTTCTTCAAAACAGATAAAGTACGTTTTCCAATTTTTTTTGTTTTTGAAAAGCATATGTTCCAAACTAACCAGAGTAAGTTTATTTTCAATAAAACTTCATGGACAATAATTTTTCAGAATTGAATTATATATAATTTAATATGTTTAATACATAATTGAATTTCAATTTATCCTAATTGAAATTCAACTTCATAGTAATTAAAAATAATTTTAAATTAATTGAATCTTTAATCAAGTTTCTAAATAATTTATGATATATTAATTTCAATTGTTGGCTAACGCAGATAAGGGTTTTCATTAATTAACTGCCAAAAATTGGCATTGAACTTCTAACGGAATTGTACTTTATGCCTGTATTTTACCTTTTCCTCTTTTTTTTTTATAATTATTGACTAATGAGTGGCAATGTAATAGATTTGTGAAAAAAATTGGGACCAAGTTACCACCAAATAATGGAAAGACAAGATTGCTTACAGATATAGTTGTGATGGGACAGCTCCGCAAGTATGGTTAGTTACCAGAATTGGATCATACAATGACTAATTCATTGGATGATTCATTTAAGGTTCTGAATTTGGATTCACATAATTCCATTGCTAAATCTGTTAAATCATACGAATTTATATTAGATTGATAAAAATATTTTAAAATATTTATAAATAAAATTGTAGATTAAATAAATATTTTGCATAATTAGATATATTATCATATAAGAACTAGAAATATTCATTATCATTTAAGAAAATTACAAAAACGACTAAGCCTAGAAAAAATATTCTACATTTTAGTTTTAACTTATTTTAAGAAAAATAACTTTTTGATAAAAATAATAAAAAGATCAATAATAAATATTTAAAATTTTATTTAGATGTCATTTTGAAATCATCCAAATAGTTATAGTATTTAATTTACTTGAATTAATACAAACCCAACAGATGATCGAGTTAAACCCGACGAGTGCACTTGAGTTGTTCCAAATCAAATGCATAATCTGTCCAATTAAAAAACCAACTCGAGTCAATGACCGGGTCACATGTCAACCGATCCAACCGCCGGATCAGTCCGAATCTGGTAAGTATGTTCATAAGGATTGCCATCATATTCATAAGCAAGCTTTTAATATATGATTATCATCAACATTATGAAGGGTCGTCGAGTAATTTCTCGGAATGAGTTTTAATAGACTTCGAAATTCAAGGTCATAGACTCATTGTCAACAAACAGCATATTAACTCTTAAAACAAAAAGCTTCATCTAGAAAAAACCCAGACAGACCAAAACAGAAATTTGATTAACACTGCCTCCTAAGTACTTCTCTTTCACACAACTAATTTCAGGAATTCCATTCATTGGAAAATTTCTCAGAGGGCAACTGCAATCCTTCCAGCAACTTGGTCAAGATCCCGTTGGCCGTTAGATGTGATTCTCCTGCCACTGATACACAGAAATATGATTCTAATTAATATTAATAGTCCAAAAAATGTTAATAATATGCAATACAGTCAAAATAGACATTCACAATCAGAGCTAGTCTCCATAAATAACTTCTCCAATATAATAATTAAATGTTTTTGAGATATTTGACTTACGAACTAAAGCGATTGATAAAAAGAAGAAAAATCTGGCGTTGTTATATCAAAAAGATTTTTCAAAAAAAAGGAGTGATATATTATACTCAGAATCTTTCTGAGCTAATTCTTCTATGATCCTAAGAATCCAACATGAATAACCCCACATGGGTTAGGATTTGGAGTGTGTACCAAAAATTATCTGCATAAGTTATACCAGAGACTTCTTTTTAAGAAAAAAAATCTGAAATCTAATATTCAACCGAGATTTTCTTGCTACAGTCCTGTGAATATAACAGAAAATTTTAATACACACCACATGCTTCAAAGAGATATTGTCTCTTAAACCCAAGTAGACAAGATAATTACAGCAGCCCTAACCAGAAACCAGATGGTTTTTCAATTTTATGAACCTTCTCTCCCATGTCTATTTTTCTTTTGAACAAAGAGGCAAACATGTAAATCATTCTAGCCATATAGCTTCTCCTAGCAATTTTAATTAGCAGGGACTACCAATTAGCATGATCGATGATGTTGATATCAAATTACCTACGATAACAGCAATAATACATTATAAACACAAGAATCATACATGAGAAAACTCACCCCTTAGGATCAAGATCGATGATGTTCACATTCTGCAATTGCTGGAGAATGTGACGCGCAATAGAGCCACTGCTCTTGCAAAAATGTCGTGGACGGCTGCCATTTCTCTTGGCCCCTCCATATATCCTCCTGAAGGCATTAACACCAAGACCTCCCCTCAGGTAGATTTTCCTTGCCATGGAAGCTACAAAGTAGGGACATGGTGATCATAAGAACTTATAGATGCATACATTGCATTAGTTGCATTTCATTCATAAGTGCCTAAACAAGCATAATGCATACTCATGCATGTCGATAGAGAAAACAAAGTGGGAAGGGGGTTAGAAGAGAGTAAGAAATCTATATACCAGCTCTGATATAGTACCAATCAGGGTCGTATGGAGCAAGCTCCTTCAATGTACCACCCTTGACAATATCAGTCCATGGAGGAAGCTCAATCTGTTAAAAGGCAGGAAAAAGTAAGGACCAAACTGCTATGAATGAAAGAAAACCCCTCACCCACAGAGTCTTGAAAAATTAGGCTTAAAATAAAAACAAGTGATGTTAGCTTCCAAAATTTCAGCAACAAAGGAACTCACAACAGCAATGTTTAAGAATGTAAATGATTAATCCAGCTATAGAATCTCATATCCAAGCGTATACCATTATCAAAAATCTCATTCCCATTAAATCAATTTGAGGAAAAAAAAGAGAACCAATTAAGGCTTTATTTATTTGTTGCCCTTTGCTATTTACATGTTGCTTCATAAAAAGTTGCTAAACGAGCAAATGGAAATGGTAAAAAGCATAATATTAACTAACAAAAAATGAACAAATGACCAATTCTAACGTGTAGTTCTGCATATAAGTTAAAATCATACAGTTTATTATTTAAAAACATTTTTACCTTTTTGACTTTTAATTCTTTGAAAAGATTGTTCACCATTGTATCCATAGACGCCTTTTGCTTTTGCTTCCGCTTACAAAAGCAAAAATCAAGTAGCAAAGGCAACAAACAAACGGAGGCGAAGGATAGTCGTGACAGCTTTAGGAGTAACAAATTCATGTTCTTTCAAGATTTATTTCAAAGTTAATTACTTGTTTGAAAAGTTTTAGAAGCATCATCTTTTCGATTAAAACATATTTCCCATAATCAAACAAATCCCCCAATTAAATACAAAAATTCATAATAGAAAAACCGGGAAAAATAAATCAAAGACGCCAGCCCTAAATCAGTGGAAAAGCAGTGAATCTACAAACTAAAAGCAACGACAGGGTAAAGTTTATAAAATAACCTTGCCAGAGCGCTTGAGATGGGCGGCGTAGGCCTTCACGAACTCGTGGGGAGACACGTCCTTAACGTTTCTCGCTGCCTCCATTTTCTTGTTTCTCTGCTGCTGCGGCTTGCAAGACGTAATTTTTTGAGCGTGAGCGAGTGGGGGAAACGCTAGACGGAGAGAATTAGGGTTTTAAGCTGATGCCTTTTTGAAATTACACGACTACCCTTTTTACGACAGCGTTTTTTGATTTTTCCGCTGCCCTACCCATCCAAACTTTTTGTCCCTCTATTTCGAAACCAACAACTACAAATAACTTTAAAAAAACACAGAAATTATATTTTAAATTATAGTTTAAAATCAGAAAATAGATACGGAGTGAAAATTAGGAATATTATAGTTCATAGTTATTAATTTTGATTCTAATTTTTAAAGATCTTAAGTCAATTTTGTAATTTTTATTTAAAAATAACAATTGTGAAAAAATAATATAAAAATACAATAATAATTAACGTCTTTTTAAGCCCAAAAACTGTTTTATCAAAATGGAAAATGTAATTGAATTGTAGGCAACATGTAATTTGAACATTGACAATTAAATTTTGATAAATGTTAATATAGTTGTCGAATTGCCTCGTTAATATATTAACTAGTAAAAGTTATATAGTGTTACGTGGGTAACTGCACTGAATTAAGATTGAATATTTTTCTCAAATGATCATTTTAAGATTCAATTATTCAATTTTGATATATCGAGTATCATGTTTTATCGACTCGCTTTAATAAAATAAACTTTTGATAATGAAAAATATAATGTAATTATTTTTTATTTAAAAAAGAATTAGAATGTAACTTTATTTTTATTAACTTTATTATTGTCCGTGTGATGAAAATTTGTCACATAAGCTACTAACTTTGTCTTTCCTTTTTCCCATCTTCTTGCCAAGGGCCTAGGGGCCAAATTTGGTCTGAACGGACCAAGCAAATGTCGATATGGCCTCACACTTACATTAAGCATTGGCTTTTCGGATTTAGAATATATAATCTACTAGATCAATATCCAATATCATTTAATGAAAAGAGCAACTGTTGCCTTTAATGTCCAAGGCTAATACTCTGTGGGTCTATTACTGTAACACAACGGTATAATTTTTGTGATTCTGTTACCTTAAGCATATCATAAGGTTCGGCGCCTTAACTAAGCCCGTGTTAAACCAAGAGGGCGTGTGAAAAGGCATGAGTCGGTTACGATAGCATCCAAGGCTATGTTTAGTACCTTCAATATGGGAGCTCAGATCCCGATGCTTAATGCTATGGACTACGAATTCCTCGTGTGTACTCTGATTTTTGACATCAATCCATGTAAATGCAAGAATGTGAAATATGCTCCTAGTTACTACTGAAACATAATAATGGTCTTTTAGTTCTAAGATTAAACCTAAAGGCAAAAGCAAGTGACAAGTCTTTATAGCTAATGCAAAAATATTTGCCCTATTCTCGACGTTTCGAGTCACCTCTCATTGTTTCAATCTTTCACTTTTCTTTAGTTCCTTCGTATCATTACATATGTGAGAATCGCATTTGGTATCTAATGTCCATGATGATGAAGAATTACAAAGACTAAAATCAATCATAATTATTTTTTTAAAGTCAATGTTTCATTAAGCCTTTACTTCAAATTTGTCAAGTAAACCTTGCTATCCCTCTTCCAATGACCTTTGCTGTCATAATGATATATTCCTTTGTTGTTGTTCTTTTTTATCAAAGCTATGGAGTTATAATAGTCACAATCACATATGTGACTTGATCATTATCATTTTTATGAATATGATGAGCATTCCATGCTTCATCACCAATGTCCTTGGTTGGGCTTTTAGCAAAGTTTTCTTAAGGTTACATAACTTTTTCCTTTGTTGAGAACGATTTTCATGTTCATGTAGCAACCTAAGAAGTTTGGCCTAGTGAGTTTGTTTGCATACAATATGTTTTGGAGTGACATGTTAGTACCCATTTATCTAGCAAAAAGAAATATATCAGAGAGAGTATGTATAAGTGATTTGTGTATTTTAAAAGCCAATTTAAGATAAAATCTAAATCTTTGTTCGTTAATCTCACTTTTGTATTCAAAATAATATCCCTTCTTTATTAAGTGACTTAACAAATCATGATATACTGAATTAGATATATAACTAGGTTTATGAATTATGTCCAATATAACTTCCAGATTCGTTATGTTTCGCCTAACAATTGTATTTAACATTCTATGGCCATGAGTAATTCATGCAAATCATATAAGTTAGTTAAGTGGGACTCATTTGTTATAGCATATATAATCATATTCTTGTTAAAATTGACCTTGAGTGACTTAACAAGTCAAGATAAAAAGAATTTTGATTTTTACTATGATAATAGAAGGCAACTTGATCATGTTGAAAATATGTGACTTAATATTTTAATAAGGGCTTTTAGTTTAGAGATTGATTCCTAGGGATTTATTATACTTGATTTCCAAGCTCATCATATTGCATGCATAGAATTTATAAATATCATATAAAATAAATCTACCACGTGTATATTACTTGAATGATAATGGATTTTATCTAATCTAGTTTCCTTATGCTGTCAAAAGGAAACTAGTTAATCTAGATTATTATCCACACAAGTCTTCATAAGTCTCAAATGCAATCTTCTTGTACCCTCCATGGCGCCTTGGTCCTACATTTTGTTAGGATTATTAAATTTCTTTCTAATCTAATCATATAAGTGATATAAAATTTACATAATTTGTCAAGAAATTTGGAGTTAAAAATGTGGGAAATAAGATAAGAAGAGAATTTTATAATTAACAGAAAAATAGAGGTGTAAGGCTCACAAGCCTTATTTCAAAAATATCAAAAAAAGTTAAACCATATTATCATCCACAATTACATTGGATTTAAGTCCATAATCATTCGCATCCGTTTACAATTGAATTCTGAATTTAAAAATACATGTTTAATTAAAATTGTTGATATTATAGGTTATTTGAATTAGTATTATGCAAACAATTTGTAATACTATTTCAAAATATTTGACGCATGGTTTGTAAGCAATTTGGATAAGTTTCCTAAAATATTTTTAGGAAAGTTTTCAAAATTGATTCCACTAAGTTACAAAAGTGATTTAACTAAGTTAGCAAAAATGAGTATCTAAAATCATTTGAGACAAGTTTCCAAAAACATTTTGAGTAAGTTACTAAAAACTGTTTTATAAGTTACTCAAAATTACTTAAGTTGTTGTCTTAATCCTATTAGGATTTTACTTTATCCTTGAATCTTAAATCATATTAGGATTGAGTATTGTAAAGCCTAGTACTTCCCTACCCTTTCCAAAACCCTAAAAATCAATTTCTTAGAGTTTGCTTATCATATTTGTAGCTATTGTTGGCAAATTTGGTGAAGTTGGTGGCAATTTGTGTTGGGCTCATATGTTGATTTGCTTTTATGATGCATATCATGACATGTTAGCTAACCTTGGATACATCCTCTAGTCAAATACCATGGCCATGGAAGCCTTTTTATCATGTAACAATTACATAAGCATTATGCTGCCTAGATTTTTGAACAATGTTGAAACAAATTTTCAACACTTTTTTCTTAATTTCAACTATATATTAAGCAATCAAAAAAACCCTCAAAAAATCTCATATTGTTTCAATATCTTACCTACATAGTCATTCATTATATGTACAAATATGAAGGCACAGAAAAATAATAATTGAATTAAATGAAAGATCGAGACTACTTAGAAAATTCTAAAATTGTACGTGAACAATTTCAGCACATGTTCTTTCAATATTGAGAAACCAAATTTTAATCAAACAAACTTTTGTAAGTTACCCATATAGTCAAACATCCCATACATAAATTTGGTGACCAAATACTTAGGAAAACAATTGAAAACAAAATAGTACAACAAATTATTTAAAATTTGAAACAAGTTTTTCAAAATTAAAGGAGAATTAATTTAGGATATGGATGACATGTAAGAGAGTTGTACCCACAGGGCCCATAGAGACTGGCACACACCAATAGCCTGCGTGCAGCTTACGTGCAACCTACGTGCATAGGACAGTTGACATGAAAGGGATTCGATAGCTATTAAGAAAAGTGTAAGCCAAGTAAAGTATTTTAAGGCAATTGGAATAGTTTTCATATTTAAGTTTTCCTTATTGATTGCTTTGCTTGTACAACAAATATCCTTAATTTTTAAGACATTATTTTATAGTTTTTTTTTACTTTACTTGCACTTCAAACAAATCTAATAGTAAAATATTTTCTTATTTACTTGCGTTACAAGTAGGTTTAGGATGAGTTATTTCTATAAATAAACCATTTACGTTTCGTTATAAAACTGAACATCCTTGATTCCATTTTTCATTAAATAGGGTTTTCTTGATTCCATTCTTTTTTAATAGAGTTTTCTTGATTCTATTCTTTTCAGATATTATATTTTTCATGATATTAGAGCAAGTTCATAACCTAGTTTTCTTTTCTCTTTTAAGCCATGACGTTGATCTTGTTGTGGTAGAGTGATGTTTTTTCCCTGTGATTTTATCTTCATCGGCTACTTGGGCTCTGTACGTGATTTGTTTTCTATTGACTATTTGAGTGTAGTACATGATTTGTTTTTCATTGATTGCTTGGGCGTCATACATGATTTGTTTTTTGTCAGTTGCTCGAGCACCATGCGTGATTTATTCTTTGCCGACTGTTTCAACTCTGTATGTGATTTGTTTTTAATTGGTTGCTTTAGTGCCACACGTGATTTGTTCTTTATCAACTGCTTTGGTGTTGCATGTGGTTTGTTTTTCATCGGCTACTTCGGTGCCATACTTGATCTCCATCGACTGTTTCGTTGTCACACGTGATTTGTTTTTCATTGGCTACTTCATGCCATACTTGTTATCCATCGACTACTTTGCTCTTGTGCGTGATTTGTTTTTCATTGACTATTTTGGTGCCATATTTGTTCTCTATCAATTGCTTTGATGTTGTACGTGATTTGTTTTTTGTCGACTGCTTCGGTGCCATATGTGATTTATTCTTTGTCGGCTGCTTTGGTATCATACGTGATATGTTCTTTGTTGGTTGCTTCTACACCGCATGTGATTTTTTCTTCATTGGTACTATATGTGATTTGTTATTTGTTGATAGTTTCAATGCCGCATGTGATTTGTTATACCGTCAACAAGTATCTAGAGAAGTTGCTCATATGGATACTACGATCGAAATATGGCTCGATTTAGAAAAGCAATTTGCATAAGGAATTACACCTTGAGTATATGAATTGAAGTGATCTATTGCATTATTACAATGGTCGCATTTAGAGTTGGAAATGTTCTTGAGACAATTAACAAGGAGCTGCCTCAAATGAACTCACAAAGCTAATTAGCACTCCAAGGAAGACTTGTGGTGGAAAGAGACCACAAGGCAATGAGGATGTTGCCTGAATCAAGTAGGGAGAATATCACAATTCGTGAATCTGTGATCAGTTTAAGTCGATGAACGGCTCAGATCAATAGCACACCTATGTGCTGCACATGCCATAGAGGCTCAAATCAACCTTAAGGTGACATCACTTTGGGCACATTGACAACTAGCATCTGACCACTATCGATTGCGGGTTTCTTGATACTTCGCACATTTGCAAGTTGTTAAATTTTTTACCCACGCAAATATATGGATCGAACAAATAATATATGGTAAGTAGAGTGTCGATCTCACAGAGAATTGAATTAATTACTACCGCTAAGTATTAAAATTAACACATATTAATTTTATCCAAATAATCAAAATTAAAACTAATATACTTAAAATAAAATTAATATAAAATTTATCAACAAATTTATTTTTAGAAATTTAATTAACTACCGGACCTAAGATTATAATATCTTTCAATACTTTATCTGATTATTTCATCTCTCTTTTAACTTAGTTTAATGTATTAAGTTAAAAATTTTATTAAATTTATTTTCATTAATAACGTAGATCAAAATTAATTTTAAAATTATTTTAATTAGATATTTAATAAGTATGAATATTTTAATAAATAGTATTTAAAATATTGGAGTACAAATTTAAATATTATAAGGTTTAAGTACCTTATCAAATAATAATATTTGGTTAAGGTACTTGAAAAATACCTGTTGACATCCCCGCATTGCTATAAAAAAACTAAAAAATTCAAGTGCGAAAGCTCTCCCTATACTAAATAAAAAAAAAAAAAAACGAAGCAAATTGTTGTTACAGTTCTCTCTACAATCTCCAATTTTGTTGTCTCCGCACTCGTTCCTTGTATATGTCGATGCTTACAGAAACCGACACAAAATATTCATTCTTTTAAATTTCCTTCCTCATTTTTCCATCGATCTTTCCGCACTAAATCCCATACCAAACTCATCTTCTGCTTCGTTATTTCGTTGGTTCAGTTAAAGTTACAAAGGTTCTCTCTTTCAAATTTGTAAGCGCTTTATTCAGAGCCCATGGCTTCTTTCTCTGTTCCCTGTGCTAAATCCTCTGTTTTGCTACGATCATCACCTTTGATTCCTAGTCATAACCTTAAACAGAACCATTTTATTGGGTTTCAGGTCAGTTCTACAAGATTTCTAGCTATGCTGTTAATGTTGATTTCCGGCTATTTTAGATTGTAAATGTATACGATGCTGTCATCAAGGATAGGATTCTGTTTTTCAATCATGATAACAAGTAGCTAGGTTTCTAAATTATAGTAATAAAAAGTTATTCAATAGATTGTTTGCAATTTAACATTTGGCAATTTATGTTTTTACTTCTAATTGCAGTGGTCTAGCCAGAACCAATTTAGGACTCTGAAGGTGCATGCTCAAGTTAATGAGGTAATCTGATAAGCATCGATGTCCTATCAACGTTTCCATCCTTCAATTGCTTCGTCTTAATATCCTACAAGTTAAAACTCATTAAGAAACCCTCACCTAATAGCTTCAGCGTTCTGGTCGAGTGGTTTTTTTAACCTGGTATTAGACCCTATTAGATATATTAACATATATAGCCATAGCAAGCTACAGATTAAAGCTCTTCTGGTTCTAGAGCCCTCAATGCAGCTTAACTCTTTAGGTTAGATTGGTTCTTTAACGTCTTCCTGTAGGTTACCGTCGAGAAATCACTGAATTCTGCCCCAATCATAGAGATAACATCAGAAGAAAAACGGAAACAAGTCATTCCTGATCTACAATCAATCGCAGCATTCATGAACCAAGTTGCAGACCTGGTTAAGTGAGTGCAACCTCGGTCAATATACAGTCAAAACAGAACTGGGATGTGTCTCATCTTAAAATTATCTGTGGCTTGCAGGCTGGTTTATTCAAGGGATATCATTGAGCTGCAGCTAAAGCAGCCAGCATGTGAGGTCACTATTAGGAAGAAAGAAGCCTTGCCACAGCCAGGGATTGCTCCTGTTATTACCATGCGAGCTCCTCCTCCGACCATTCTTCCATCTCCACTGCCTCCCGCAGCGCAGGTCACTCCTCCCACTTCTTCCAGTCCTGCTGCAATGCCTTCAGCACCGGAGGCTCATGCCCCTCCACAGCCGAGTAAATCATCGCATCCACCCCTAAAATGCCCTATGGCAGGAACATTTTATCGTTCCCCTGCCCCGGGTGCACCACCTTTTGTGAAGGTAAATGCTATTACTGAGGAACGTAGTCCGGAAGTAGTTGTTGAATCCCATTTATCTTTTATCTCTATATATGTCCTTTGAGGTTATCTGTTATCTATCTGTTAGGTTGGAGACAAGGTCCAGAAGGGCCAGGTAGTTTGCATCATTGAGGCGATGAAGCTGATGAATGAGATTGAAGTAAGTGTGTGCCCGTGTGTGTGTCTATATATATAGTCTCATCCTTAATTGGTAAAATCTTAATGCTTTTCATAGATGATACTAGTAATTGATTAACTTAAATAATTCATCCTCAGATTTTCAGAAATATAAGCACCATCCATACTTTTTTGTTGCACCATAGGTTTATGCAGAACATTAGTCTTTGTTACAAGTGCTATGATTTAACATATGCGTTACATTAATTTTTTCAATAATAATAATAAGTAACTTTTAATGTAAATTGAACATATTGTATAGATACTTGTTACATTAATTGAACGAAATTTAGTTTCTTTAGTTTCATGCTATACAATATTTATAATCTCATCAATATTTTGAGAAGTCTTCTTTTTTTTTTCTTTCTTTTGGGCATATGTATAAATTAATCTTGTGTGTCTATATAGTTTAAGTTTAAGTGATATATATGTAACTAATACTAGAAATTAACAAATATGAAAAATTTCTTTATCAAAACAAAATTTTAATTAACAAATAATTAAAAGTAATTTGATTGTCATGCTTAACTTATATTATTAAGTCAATGATAATCAAGTTTCTAGATCATGATTATCAATCCTCATCCAATCAACATTTAATAATTATTTTAATGAAAAGTATTAAAATTTAATAAATTTAAGGTTTAGAAAGTAATTTTACATATGGAAATGGATTAATTAACCATTAAAATTTGATAAGTAAACGATGAGATTCATAAATAACTTAAACATCAATATTAAAACTAAACGTAAGTAGAAAGAGGAAAAGAATAACGTTAATTGATACAACCTTTAGACCCTAAAGTTGAACTCCAATTTTAAATTGAATTTTGTCGATTCATATGTCAGGTTTATGAATTGTTTAATTTACTTCTTTTTAATTTCTTATATCAAACGTAATAGTTATGTTATATACATATTAAGGGAAATGTGATGGTGATTATAATTAATTTCTACCATTGTTCTTTCTGCAGGCCGATCAATCTGGAACCATAGTTGAAATACTTGCAGAAGATGGCAAACCAGTCAGCGTGGATACGGTATCTCTCTCTTCTTTCTCCTCGCTACTCACTTGCATATACCCAAGGCTTGCTATTGACTAGATTTATGTGGGTGTCTTTGTTGCAGCCTCTGTTTGTGATTGAGCCGTAAGAGTTTATGCAAAATCAGCTGCATGCAAGAGTTATATAGTTACATAAAGCACACAAGTATTTGCATCCATACATATTCTGGTTACTTTATTATTTAATTCAGCAATGAGCCTGCGAGTAACTCACTGATCATGAAGAAATTTGCAGTGTATCCGGAGATTTTGCCTCAGAATAAAAGTGTCAAAAAGGGTATAACTTTAGCTATGCATATTTTTCTTTTAACTATTTGTAGTATATATAATCTTTGCCTTTTAAACTAGTAAAATCAAATTCTTAACCATGCTAAACATATTCCAAGTTCATATAACAGTTCCTCCGCCGCCTGCAGTGTGGAGAAAACATCTGGTTGCTATTGAACCCAATGTTGGGTACTATTGTTAGCTTAAACTTAAATTATTGTAACAAATATCTTAAAATAGAGGTGTTCAATACGTACCGTTGCATATAGAATTTTAGGCCTGAATATGATTCAAAGTTGATTAAATTTGGTGAGCATATGACTTACAGTTATTGTTGCACTACAATTATTCGATTACAATCATAAATTGTGTAAGGTTCATCATATAGCTCACACTCATACGTGATGGACTCCTCACATAATTTTTTGTTGTAATAAGATAATTATAGCATTTGTAGTAAAAAGAATAATTGAAAATGAAATGCTGGCTTTCATTTGACCTAAAAAGCACCAAGTTAACATTCAATTTGATATGAGAGGAGTATAATATTAACAAATAAATGTTTTGAAATTCTAAAATATATTTAAAAATATTAATAATATAAAATATTTTTTCAATTTTAATAAGAAATACCATGAAATGACTGGGCCAGCACAAGTCCGAGCTCGACATTTGAAAAGTAGATCCGGTTACGTTCTAATCGAATTTGATGCACATTGATCCTTGAGCATTCCTATTCTAGAAAAAGAGAGAAAGCATAGCATGTGATGTGAGTAGTATATATCAAAGATGGGTTACATTTAAATTCTTTCAAAAATCTTAAATAGAGAAGACACCATTTTTTTTCTACATGAAAGAGACCTAAATTAATTATAAAAAAACAAATTCATTTGAAATGTAGAAATAAAATCTACTTGGTTAAAGGCAATTTAGGTTGATGATACACCAACATGATCATGGTAACTTATTTTTCAATTTTTTAATAATGAATCTACCTTTTTACCGGTCAATAAAGGAGGATTTTTTTTTATCATTTATCTATAATATTTGCATCAAAATAAATAATTAAAATATTCTTGTATACTTACCCTATACAATCCTTCTCCCTATTTTGTGTGAGGGTTTGAATAATTCAAAAATCAAAACATTTGTATATAGATTGTCTCCTTGTTATACTTAGAGAAGAAAATGGAGAAAAAAGTTTCATTTGAATCATCATGTGTAGTTTCTCTTCTTTTATTTTCCCCCTATATCGTCACTTAACCAAAAAATTCCAAAAAAAAAAAGTTACAGTCGGAAATATGTATGAAATGTTTTGATAATTTAAAGAAGGATGGGCTTATATTTGGAATTTTTTTTTTTAAGAATATGTGTGTAGTTGTCATTGTGGATTTTCTAAGGGAAAAAAAGTATTTGATTTTTATTCCTTTATAGCTTTTACTTAAGGTCCAATTTTCATGTGAGTCATATTGTTTCAATGAAAATGTGTACAATTTACTCTAGTAAAATAAGAATTATATTAATCATGAACCCTAAGACTAATTTCCAATTGTAGTTTTTCTAACTAATTAATTTTTTTCTCGAATTTAAATTTTATGATTACTTGTTTGCGTTTCGGGCAATTTAAAAAAATATAAAAAAGGAAAATGAACAAAGGTGAAGGCTTTCCTTCAAGTAACGTTTTTTCAAAAAAAGAAAAAGAAAAAAAGAATCATTAGTTCCTTTTGTCCAAAAAAACGAGAGAAAAACTTTCTCTCTTACAAAAATGAGTGAGGAAGGAAAAAGAGAAAGTATTGTTTTCTACTTCTCTTCCTTTCTTTGAAAAGAAATAAAAATGAAAAAAAGAAAGGGGTTTTTCATTTAGGTAACAAGAAAAGAGAAAATAAAAAGGTTTCTTCCATTTTCTTCAAAAACAACAAAAAAAAGACATTTTAGTTTTAAATAAAATTTTCTACTTCCAATTATACATGATTTTCAATAACGTGGTCTTCCATTTCACTTCATATCATCCATGCATCAAGGCACCATAGCATTTCAGCATACATGCTTATATCATGTTTTCATCTATGTGCAATCATCTTATATTTATTCTAATAAAAAAGAACCCTATAGTGTTTTTAGCTTTGCAGGAAAAGGAATAAATATTTTTTTTAAAAAAAAAAATCTAAATTTTTATTAAGTTCAATTTCTTTTCTTAATTAATTTTTGTTTCAGTCAAAAGGATTGAAAGATTTAGAACATTAGTTGGAAGCAAGAATAAGTGCACTAGAAAGCAATTAGGAAGAATTTGGACATGACCTTCGAGAGATGAAAAGACACATTGCCAAATTGATGAAAATGGTTGAGGGTCTTAACGAAGCCAATGGAATAGGTCCTTAAGGATCCTCATCACTTCAAATTGAACCACACCTCAAGCAATCATAAAATGAAAGTCAAGTGATCTTTGATAGCTCTAACACTTGTCAAGGTCTCATTAATACATTTAGTGCCCCAAGTGAGAATCAATGTTTGGAGAAGATCGTAAAAGGGATGGATGAGTTGAATACACGAATGATTGAGTTGAAAAGCTTCATTACCAATATGGGATCTCCAAGTCTTACACAATCTCTTGACAACGGGTTGTAACCAAGCACATGCCTTCAACCTACCATTTCCAACCCACAAGCATCGATTTGTGCCCTTACCTTAACACCTTTCGACCATCTTTTCAACAAGCTTCTTAACCCCAACCATTTGCACCATTGTTAACCACCCTCACTAGCCTAGGCACCCCTCAAAAATAATTTAAAAGAAAAAATAGTTTGAGCCCATTCCTTTTACCTACGGGGAACTTTTTATCAATTGGTGCATGATCATCTCATAGTCTTGATGCCTCTAGAACCCTTGCAACCTCCATAGCCAAAGTGTTACAATTCAAATGCAAGATGTAATTATCATGGCAGAGCTATAAGACATTCCATTGAAGATTGTGACGCCTTCAAGTATCGGGTACAAACATTAATAGATGTTAAGTGGTTTGATTTGATAAAGATGGTCAAGTATGGTGATGGGGAGCGTAATTAGATGTCTAGATACAAAAAGGATTGACTTTAGTGGGATTTCCTCTTTTTGATAAAGGCTTTTTGAGATATAAAGCTCTAGGGCACTTAATGTGTATCCATGATAGTCTTTAATTTTTTTAGGATTTTGTGAGATTGCTTTTGTGATTAATTATGTGAAAATGAATGTGTTCTAAGATATCTTTTTGAATGTTACAAATTGCTGCTATGGTTAAATTGAGCTTTTAAGAATTGAATCACTAAGTCATGTTTTGAATTCTTGCAATCCTTATGATAAGTTATCTTGCAAATTCATTGTGCACACTTCATCCTTAAATTCACCTATTCATGCATTCTTTCATCCCATGATATCTCATGCATTCATTCATGACCAAGGGTGTATCAATTCTAATAATGGAAAAATTAGTATTGCTGTCAGCAATTGTTGCTATTTAAGAGTAAAGCATTCTTTATAAAAAAGAGCATTACGGATAAGATCTTTAATAGGGTTTAAGTTGTCCACCAAATCATCTATCTTATGGGCATTCAAATTTCTAGCTTTAGCCTCCTCTATGTTGGTCCTGTTTAAGTGATAGAGGGGGGGGGGGTGAATAGCACTAAAAATTTTTTAATCAGCCTTTTAGAGCTTGAAGAGCACTTAATCAACTAGATGATGGGAATGACTAGAACTTATTAAAATTACAAGATACAAAGTAAGGAAGGGTAAAAAGAAGTGGGCAATGCAAGATTATTTATAGTGGTTCGGTCTCCTTGACCTACATCTACTACTTTGATCTCCCAATTAAGGATTTTTAACTCAACTTTACTAAATCAGTGGAATTAATAGCTTTCACCAAACTTTTACAAGCTAAACTTCTAACCCAAGCTCTAATCATTTACAACAAGCTTTAGAGTGTTTCCAATATTCTGATTTTCCAAGGGAAAGAAGAAAAAGAAATACAACTAAGTACCTTTATAAGTCTGAATAGATTACAATCAAGCTTAAACAATTTTTCTAGATATAGAATGAAAAGCAAGTGTTTTTGGTGAAAAATATTTTGCTCTTTTTGCTCAAAGTAGCTCTTTTATCTTTAAATCTTCCTCTTTTATCCGTTGAAGCTTCCTTTTATACCTAGGGAGTTAGATTTTTTTGTTGGAGACAATTTCTAGCCGTTAAAAACAACTCTGATGCATTTCAAGCTGTTATTTTGTCCTTTAGTGTTTAAATTCAAAAAAGATAGACAAACTTCGAGTAATCGATTACAAGCAGCTCTAACCGATTACATCTTCTCTGCCTTGCACTGTCTTGGTGCTGTGTTATCTGCTTTAACTTATTACAAAAGGCTCTAACCGATTAGGAGTTGTCTGTCTTCAGACTTCTCTTCTTTAGCAGACTTTTGCTAATTGGTTATGGCAGGCTCTAATTGATTACAAACTTTATGTTTTCACTTCTCTACATAGTAGTCTTCCTTTAATTGGTTATCACTTCCCTTAATTGATTGAAGCTTTACCTTTTTCAACCATAATCTATTAAAATTACCTTTAATCAATTAGAAGATTTTTGAATTTAAAACTTTTCCATTTTGGCTCCCTTTAATGGTCAACAATATTTTTAAACTTGTTTTTGGTACTTTGAAGATAGTTGGACCTTGTGCTCTAACAGATTAGCCAGACCTCTTAACCGATTAGTATATTTCTATTTTGCTTTAACTTATCACACAGCCATGCCTTAGCTGATTAAGGTCCTTTGATAATTGGTTACTAAGGTTCTGTTTTTATTCATTACTTGCTCTTTCCCTCTTAACTAATTAACTCTTCATTAAACTTAGTAAGCTCCTTGACTTGCCTTTAATTAACAACTTTGTTAAGGGTGTAAAATTAAATCTTGCACACTTAAATAGTGAAGTTAGACATTAATGAATGAGGAATGTTTTGTTATCATAAAAGCCATATGGAGTCAACATTCTCCCCCTTTTTTGATGATGACAAAACACACCTAGATTAAAAGTGCAATGTTTATAAATGAAAAGAATATTTTGTGCAGTTTTGAGAATA